TTAGCAGTAATGTCAACCAATCAGCACTCAGTAGCAGTAATGCCAACCAATTAGTGCTCATTAGCAGTAATGCCAACCAATCAGCACTCAGTAGCAGTAATGTCAACCAATCAGCACTCAGTAGCAGTAATGCTAACCAATCAGCACTCAGTAACAGTAATGTCAACCAATCAGCACTCAGTAGCAGTAATGCTAACCAATCAGCACTCAGTAGCAGTAATGCTAACCAGTCAGCACTCAGTAGCAGTAATGCTAACCAATCAGCACTCAGTAGCAGCAATGCCAACCAATTAGTGCTCATTAGCAGTAATGCCAACCAATCAGCACTTAGTAGCAGTAATGCTAACCGATCAGCACTCAGTAGCAGTAATGCTAACCAGTCAGCACTCAGTAGCAGTAATGTCAACCAATCAGCACTCAGTAGCAGTAATGCTAAACAATCAGCACTCAGTAGCAGTAATGCTAACCAATCAGCGCTCAGTAGCAGTAATGTCAACCAATCAGCACTCAGTAGCAGTAATGCTAAACAATCAGCACTCAGTAGCAATAATGCTAACCAATCAGCACTCAGTAGTAGTAATGTCAAATAATCAGCACTCAGTAGCAGTAATGCTAACCAATCAGCACTCAGTAGCAGTAATGCCAACCAATCAGCACTCAGTAGCAGTAATGTTAGCGACCTGCTGGCCAAAACCTGGTTGCTGCAGAAAAAAATGTTCAGGCAAAGTTCTTTGCGATTTTAATATAATACATTCTTTTACGTTCTAAAATTAAAGGAAGGACCTGAAGAGATGATTAGAAACATGTTTAATTGTTCAGTTTCAGCCATTTAACTTCATTCAGCCTCAGTTATTGAGGACCGCAGGCACCCTCAGACGTTTTACAGCCAGGTTGTGATATAACAGCAGAAAGAGGAAGTGGTCATAACAAGTTAACAAGTTAGCAAGTTAACATGTTTTCATTATTGTGCAAACCATTACAGTTAACTATAAAGCTTTGTATATTTTCCTGTTTTTGCTTGATATTGAATTTCAGCTGCTCAACAGTTCAGCGTCTCTTTTGTCCTATTTTTCTTTTCATAATGTGCCAAATGTTATCAGTGGTGACAGGTCTGGACTGCAGGCAGGCCAGTTTTGCACCAGGACTCTTTTAAAATGGAGCAATGCTGTTGTAATACGTGCAGAATGTGGTTTGACATTGTCTTGCTGAAATAATCAAGGCCTTCCCTGAGAAAGCAGCATCTGGATGGCAGCATATGTTGCTCCAAAACATGTATATATCGTTCAGCATTAATGGTGCCTTCACAGATGCGCAGGTCACCCATGCCATGTGCACTAATGCCCCCTATACCATCATGAATACTGGCTTTTGAACTGTGCACTGATAACAAGCTGAGTGGTCTTTAGCCCGGAGGACACAGTGTCCATGATTTCCAAAAAGAATTTCAAATTTTGATTTGTCAGACCACAGCACACTTTTCCGTGTCGCCTCAGTCCATTTTAAATGAGCTCGGGCCCAGAGAAGTCAGCAGCGTTTCTGGATCCTGTTCATATTTGGTTTCTTCTTTGCTTGGCAGAGTTTTAACTTGCATTTGTGGGTGCAGTGATGAACTGTTTTCACAGACAGTGGTTTTTGGAAGTGTTTCTGAGCCCATGCAGTGATTTCAACTACAGAATCATGTTTTTTTTTTTTTTCTTTAACGCGGTGCTGTCTAAGTGACCAAAGATCACGTCCAGTCAATATTGTTTTTCGTCCTTGTCCCTTGCATACACAGATTTCTCCAGATTCTCTAAATATGTTAATGAGGTTAAGTACCGTAGTTGATGAAATCCCTAAATTCTTTGTTATTTTATGTTGAAAAATATTATTCTTGAATTGTTGCACTATTTGCCCCAACAGTCTTTCACAGAGTTATGAACCCCTCCTCATCTGCTGTGGTGAGTGAGTCAGCAGCCAGTGCAGTATTTCACACTGTGCTCTCTACATAGAGAGAACTGCACTGTGATAAAATTGTGTTATAATCTTGTCTACCAAGAACATGACCATGAAACCGGCGTCACGCATTTATACAGAAAGCAGAAACAGACAAGCACTCATCTCCAAAATGAAAATACAGAGCTTCTCTTGAAGTGAACATTGCATAAAAATCTCCTGAACGCATCATGACTGATGAATAAACTCAGGAAGCCACCTGTTCTGGCAGGTTTGTGCTGTATGACCACATACCATCAGCAGTAAAGTGCAAACAAAACAGAGAAATCTAGAACACGTCCACGCCCCTAAGCTCAGATCTGCTTCTGTACTGCGGAATGTTTCCTCAGCCACAGTCATAACACTGACCGCGTTCACTGTAAACACCACCAGACTGACCTTTCATCCTTGATAACTAACCATGGATAAAACTACGGTGAAACACCGACTCAGAGAAAGTATTTTCACACAATTAAATTGCTTTCTTTCAAAATAAGGACATTAATCCAACATAATTTCCTTAAATCTCCATATTGAAAATAATATATATGGACATGCATTTTTATATCTTAAAATACATTTAAAATTCATTGCATTTCATGATGAAATACATTCTAAACACTAGAATATATTTCAGAATATGTTGCCATCTTAACCAAATATATTAATAATGTAATATGTCATACAAAAATAAATGTATGTAAATGTGTTTATCAAATCCTTTTGAAAATATATGAAAATATCCAAAAACCTGTCTGATGCTCTTCACTGTCTGATACCTTTAGAAATGAATTTCCAGTATCTTCATTTTAAATATGATCAAATGATCCTTTAACAGGACAGAAGCGAGTGTTGTGGGTATTGACACTCTGTGAAAATGCAGTTATGATCTGATATCTAGTTTATGTGAAATACATTGTGTGTGAGAGTCTGACTGCAGACATACATGGTTAATGTAAAGTACAGTGCAGATCACAGAGGTCAGTACGTTTAGTTACATCTGGAACCTTCATTACACACAACTGAACACAGATAATAACTAATACTAATAAATGTGTTTTAAAAATATATGTAACAAAACATTTTACATAACATAATACACTGCAGAAATATATTTGAACTATAAAGACTGAATTAAAAAAGAATGCAAATTAGACCGATTTTCAGTCTGAGACGTTTGGACCCCGCTGTCGATTTCAGTTCCGTAGTGATTACTGCTCACTGTCTGTCACTCTCACTCTTCACTCTCAACTTCACTCTTTATCATTTACCAAATCTACAAACTCCAGCACAGCAGGAGCTTTCAAAGATGAAGCTGAACAGCACTGAGAACATCCTGCCAGGTACATTTCTATGTGTAATATTTCCCTGTACGTTTTAAAATAAATGTATTTTAAAATATATTTGGTTAATACAGCAAAATGTACTGAAATATATTTTAGTGTTTGGAATGTATTTTAAATGTATTTCAAAAATATTATATATCCTCCCATATATTATATATATATATATATATATATATATATATATATATATATTTATATACAGCCAATCAGATATGGGCCGATTAGTCAGCTTTCCATGTAGGCCAGCATGGAGCAATCAGCAAGTTATTCACAGATAAAACAACAGCCGGACATTCTTATCAGACTGAGCTGTATCAGGTCTAAAGTGCAGTTTATTCACATTCTGCATCCACAAAATCTGTGAAATTCTATGCACAATCAAAACTGAAAGAACTGAGGCAGTCAAATAAAGGACAGCGATCAATTGCATTGGTCTACCCCCCCGATAACTCAGTGTGTGAGATGTACACAGAGTGATTCAGAGTGGTTTGGTGTGAAATAGTTCAGATTTCTCTACAGTGGTGGTGACAGGAACCAGGGGTCACCATGACTACACCACAAATATAGACATTTTATTTACTATCCAGAACCACCAGTCAACCTACACAAGTCTTCTGAGTTTATATGGAATGTTGATGATGGAAAATAGTGGAAAATATGAAATAATAAGTTTTCTTTGGGGACTATTTTGCCTCACAGCGCCCTGCATGTATCCCTCCACCATGAATGGAGTTTAAGTTCTCAAAACTATCATAAAACAATATCTCAGTCATCAGGCAGTGAATTCATAACCATTTCATGTAGGAACTTTCTGTGAGGGAGCTTTTAGAGGTGGACGTCTGGTTCCTATCACCACCACTGTGAACAGTTCTGACTCAGTCAGTTTCTCTAGAACAGAGCGTTTCACACCAAACCACTCTGAACCACTCTGTTTACTTCTTAACCACTTAATTATACACAAATTTTGAAAAATCAGTGTAATTCCCCTTTTACCAATCAGCTCCTACATCTGTTTCTTATACAGCAGCTTTGCCGGTTGTGTCACACTTACTCATGATAAAACGGCTCATACAAGCTTACAAAGTAATTCAGGGTTTATTTTATATCAGGTGAGTCTGTGTCAGGAAAGAAAACTAAATACAATGACAAACCATCTTTTATACACAGCACTTTGGTTTTTGGTCACTTAGAACCTTTAAAGGTTTTTATTAAAATGAAAACCTAATGGTTTTGCTTTCTAAAAGGAACTGGCTTAATGGTAACAATTAGAGACCACTACTCTCCCGTAGGACACCTTTAGGTCCCATCAGGAATCAATCTGGAATCAGAGCACCTGTTAAACCAGTCCTTCACACTGTGATATCAACCCATCAGAAAAACACAGAATAACATTAGAGACTACTGGGCACCAGCAGAACCTTTTAATGGTTTCTGTGGTGTTTTTTTTTAGCAGAGAATGTAAAGCGTATTGTTGACGTCATGTTGATTAACTGCTGTATTATTTTGTGTTGTGGTTAAAAAGACATTAGACTTTTTTATTGCATTTTGGTGGTTTTTCATGCATTTTGAGCTCTTATTCTTTTTAGAAACTACAGAAGCAGTGCAGGTTTAAGTCCACGCGCAGAGCCCCAGCTGTCTGTCTGTTTATGCCCCGCCCCCCAAAACTCTCAGCACTATTTTTAATCGCTTCACTGCGGAGGAACGCGGCCACACAGAGACACAGACACGCAGCGCTGCTGAGTGACCATGCGCGGAGAAGCTTCTCGGAGAAAGCGCTGTCTGCTCTTAGGAGTGGTGGTGGTGGTCGTGGTGGTCGCGGTCCTCGCGGTTGTGTTGGGACTAACTCTGAATCGCTCCAGTGACCATCTGAGGAGCACCGTGATCGGCAGATGTGAAACGTTCCTAAAGAAAAACACCGACGTGTCTCGGTAAGGCTCAGAGTTCAGCGATGCTTCCTGAATCGTTACTCTGTGATTCTGTGGTTCTGAGCGTGATTAGAGGGTCTATAAATCATTGAAGCTGTGATCTGACCTGCCGTGCACTCACTGACGGCGCGGAAGGATACACGCCGCATGTAAACGCCTCAGAGAATCGACTGACGCTGTTGGAGTATTCGAGGGCTGTTCGATTCGATTCTTAGAGTCGACTCTTAGTCCAGTTTCAAGTGATGGAGTCGAGTACAAGAGTCGATTCCACACAGATCTTTTCTTTCGATGCTCGATTTCCAAAAATGAAAGCAGTATAGAAAGTACAGCATTTAAAAGGGGAAGTCCATCGATTTTTCAAAATTCCTGCATGAGTAAATCATCTAGATGTAATCAGAGTGGTTCAGAGTGGTTTGGTGTGAAACGCTCTGTTCTAGAGAAACTTACCGAGTCAGAATTGTTCACAGTGGTGGTGATAGGAACCAGACATCCACCTCTAAAAGCTCTCTCACAGAAAGTTACTAATGAAATGGTTATGAATTCACTGCCTGATGACTGAGTCCTTGCCTAACCTTGTCCTATTGGCCACATGCAGATTGCTGAAATCATACACTGAACATTTGCACAGTAGTCTCAGTAAACCTACTCTGTACACGTAGAGTGCAGAGTGAGTAGCTATGATGAAAATGAATAACAGAATTTATATTTCTCTCTCTGTACCTTTTCCTATTGAACGCATTCTCAATCGATCCATTTAAGAGCACTGCAGTGTTTCCACAGGTTGTTGCAGCAAACTAGAAAGAGAAATGCAAAGACCAGCTTTGAGCTTTTACACTCGGTTAGTTGACATCACTACCGCAAAGGCTGGAACTGGAAATGGGAAACGTAGCAGTGATGATTCGGCACATATCCAGTTACATACAGACTGTATCTGTCTTATGTTCATTGATCAGACGAAGAATAGACCAAAACAGACTGAAATCTGGTTCCACAGACCAGATCTCAGCACTAAATTCCGTTATTTTGTGTAGAACCATCTGTTCACCCTGTGAAAGAAAAAGGATATTTTCCTAAATTTCTACCTAATTAAATGGTTCAGATGTAATCAGAGTGGTTCAGAGTGTTTTGGTGTGAAACGCTCTGTTCTAGAGAAACTTACCGCGTCAGAATTGTTCACAGTGGTGGTGATAGGAACCAGACGTCCACCTCTAAAAGCTCCCTCACAGAAAGTTCCTACATGAAATGGTTATGAATTCACTGCCTGATGACTGAGACACTGTTTTATGATAGTTTAGAGAACTTAAACTCCATTCAAGGTGGAGGGATACATGCAGGGCGCTGTGAGGCAAAATAGTCCTCAAAGAAAACTTATTATTTCAGATTTTCCACTATTTTCCATCATCAACATTCCATATAAACTCAGATTTCTTTAGTGTGGTGGTGATAGGAACCAGGGGTCGCCATGACTACAACACAAATATAGACATTTCATTTACTATCCAAAACCACCAGTGAACCTACACGAGTCTTCTGAGTTTATATGGAATGTTGATGGAAAATAGTGGAAAATCTGAAATAATAAGTTTTCTTTGGGGACTATTTTGTCCTATGCTGCTCTGTGTGTATCCCTCCACCAAGAACAGAATAAAAGTAGGTCAAAACTTTACATAAGAACTATCGTAAAACCATGTCTCACACACCAGGCCACTCTGAATAAAGACACATGTAGGTTCACTGCTGCGTTTGGATTGAATTCAAGGTTTTCAGGATCTTCACTTGATATGTGAAGGTGAATGTAATTGCAGAATGTAGCAGTGTTATCAGTTGGGTTTGGGCGATTTGGCAAAAATATAACATCACAGTACTTAGACATTTTCATGATACACAGTATGCAGTATGTAATTGAGCTTTTCTGATGCACATTAGAAAAGGCAGAAAAGTACAAACAGTGCTACAATTAAATCAAAGGCTTTTATTAAAGTGTCTTTTTTGTGAAGTTCACACTCTACGCTGCACTAAAGCCAGTTAAACCAATTCTGCTGTCTCAGTAAAGAAACATGGTGCTGCTCAGTGTTCATTGAGCACATGTGGTGACGCAATGTGACATATCATCATATTTTCCACCTCTAGTAATCGCAGTGTGCTAATTTATCTGTATTATGCGGCCTTAATTCCAGTAAACATGAACCTTGTTTGTTTCAGGTTTTAAAAAACATTAAAAAAGGAATCTTTTAAAAGGAGAAAATCTTTAAAAGTAGAACTGGTGACTGAGGAATTTGTGAGTGCGCTCTGTTCCACTGGTCTTTTGCCCAGACCTGGCTGGAGCAGCTTTTGTCTGAACTCAGTATAAATGGGCTTTTTCTTTCTCACTGTTCTGCAGAGTGAATGACTGTGAGAGAATCTGGGGGGCGTTCGAGGAGGCCTACGTGGGGAAGGATCCATGTGATGTTCCTGCTGAGGCATACAACCCTCTAATAATTTCAGTTACAGAGCACGTCATCTGTAACACTGTAAGAACGTCACTTCCCATTAAACATACACTTTACAGAGACCACAGTGAAGGTCTGAACCTGGAAATAAACAACAGGAAGTTTAAAAATGTGTGAAGTTGATGCTGATCTGTTTGTACTAAAACCTCAAAGTGTTTTTAGTCTGATCTCTTCCAGTGCAGCTCGTGTTCAGACTCTCAGGTGGGTTTGAGAGACTTTTAGACAAACTTGTGGAGCCCATGCAGCTCAAGTGCTCATGGTCATTAAAGCAGAAGAGGGACACACCACCAAATACTGAGAAATACTCAAATTCATGTTAAAAGTTAAATGATTCTACTTTTCACTCAGACTTTTATGCTGATAGTATTATTTGTAATGAAAATCTTTGTATTAGATTAGAAAAGAGTACAAAACAGAACATTTTCACCAGCAGTCTCAGACTTTTGGACCCCACTGTAAACAAATACTTTTTCAAGTCTACCTGAGGGTCAGTTTCCTGGACACACAGTGCTGGACTTTGTTTTTTCTTGCAACGAGGAATCTTCATTAAGTAGACTGTGTAGTCCGGGGTTAGGCTTAATCCCCGATTGGTAAACCAACCCTTAAAATGAACACATTTGAAAATTTTGCTGGATTGTATTTTCCACTCTGTAGAACCATGATCTCTGTTTCGTAGCTCTTATTGTTCTGTGTGCCTGTGCAGATGTTGTTCTGGAGCAAAACGAAAGCTATGGTTCACGCATTTACGGACAACAGAGAATGCCTGGTGACTTTGGAGGACACGCTGCTCGGGTTCATATTTGATGAACTGACTTGGTGCAGCAAAAATGGCAGCAAAGGTGAGTCAACAACTCCTCATAAAGTTCTAGTTATGGCCAAAACTGATAAGGCTAACAAAGATGTGGATAGTGTAAAAGTTCATTAAAGTTCACGCTGACTGCTGGTGTTCATGTGTTTGTCTTGCTTGATTCCAGTCTTTCTTAGCTATGCTAGCACTGTCTTTACCACTGAGCTTTACCTTCAACTACAGAACACTTATCGTGCTGCACTGGCCCCATTTACACCTGATATTAACGGGGAAGCCCAGTGTTTTTTTCTGAATGTCTCTATAATTAAGTGATGTAATCTGAGTCATTGTAAACAGAGTCATTCAGAGTGGCTTAGTTTTTTTTTAAATCTGTTCTTGGTGGAGGGATACACACAGAGCAACAAAATAGTCCCTAAAGAAAACTTCTTATTTCAGATTTTCCACTATTTTCCATCAACATTCCATATAAACTCAGAAGACTCGTGTAGGTTCACTGGTGGTTCTGGATAGTAAATAAAATGTCTATATTTGTGTTGTAGTCATGGCGACCCCCTCCTATCACCACCACTGTAAAGAAATCTGAGTTTATATGGAATGTTGATGATGGGAAATAGTGGAAAGTCTGAAATAATAAGTTTTCTTTGAGGACTATTTTGCCTCACAGCACCCTGCATGTATCCCTCCACCATGAATGGAGTTTAAGTTCTCTAAACTATCCTAAAACAGTGTCTCAGTCATCAGGCAGTGAATTCATAACCATTTCATGTAGTAACTTTCTGTGAGGGAGCTTTTAGAGGTGGACGTCTGGTTCCTATCACCACCACTGTGAACAGTTCTGATTCGGTAAGTTTCTCTAGAACAGAGCGTTTCACACCAAACCACTCTGAACCACTTTTTTACATACCAGTCACTTTATTATGGAGAACATTTTGAAAAATCGGTGGAATTCTCTTTTAACACGCATCTGGGTGATCTGATCATTAGTGGACAGAACTAAGTATAAGGATGAACATGCTTCTAACTTTCTGACATGGTGGGTCACGTTTGTGTAGGTAAGTGACTCAAATCTTTGAATAATGTGAACGACCCACCTGTGCACGTCATAATCATGAACAAGATCATTCACTCTGATCAGCTCTCAGCTGCTCATTGTAAGAGCAAGACGAAGATGAAAAGGCTAAGATTTCTGCTTTTGCTGTATTCAATGTCTTTGACTTCAGATTTGATGCTGTCATGTAACGGTGCACATTTTATTACACAGCGTTGAAATAATAAAAAAAAAAAACGCATCAACTGTCATTAAAGTCACGTCTATCCGATCCAGGAGCTTGTATGAAAGTGGCTCTGATCTGATTCGAAAAGATCAGATTTGTGTCACATTAAGGCAAAAAACACTTCAGTCTGGTAACGGAAAAGTAGCGTTAATCAGCTGCGTCATTACAGCAGAGGTGAAAGAAGCAGCGAGAGACAAAATCCGTTCACGTGTGGTCACTGGATATGGATTTGGGTCACATGGAAATGGCAGGTGTACAGCTGTACAGCTCACTGTCCACTTACGATCAGATCACTGAGACAGATACCAAGTGTGAGCACAGCTGTGGATCATCTCACATGCGATTGCTGCACATGTTCTCTGTTTACAGAAACCTTCACTACAGGCTGTCCTGGTTGGTCAGAGTGTCAGAACAACCCAGTGCGCTCTTTCTGGATGAGGGCATCTGCTAACGTGAGTACGCCCAAGCACGCAGGTGAAAGAATCGCCTACTGATAGTGAAAGGATTGTCTGTAAATGGTGAAAGGGCTGAATATGTTGAGTAAAAAGGGGAGACAGAATAAGCTAAAGCTTCAGCCTACACTTTTCAATCTATGTCTTTCCTATTAATTTAACACCTTATTTTAAAATTTATTTCTGTGTTTTTATGTTGAAAAATTATAAACAAGGACCAAAATAAATAACCACTACCACGTCTGTTCAGCACTGTGATCTGACCGTGGTGATCAGATATTGATTCAACCAAGATGCAGCGCATTCACAGATGAAGGGTTAAAGTTGCAGGTGAGGGGGGTTGGGAGAGTGTCCCTTCCTCCGTGTGCGGCAAATGGCTTTTAAACGTTGTTGTGTTTGTGTTTTGTGTTTGACATGCCTAAAAATAACTTGTTTAACAAGAGAGGTTGGAGCGATAGTGAAAGTGAAATGCTGCGTTTAATGCTTTATTAAGCGTTGTGCAGCCGCAGGTCAAAGCGTTCCAGGCAGCATGTCATGTACATTTTGCTCAAAGCCACAACTGAAGCACAGTGAGAAAAAGAGGTACTGAAAGTTGTCTATTGAAGTAGAGCTGGATAATCTGTAATATCACAGCACTTCAGGAAGTGTTCACGGTGTACAGTGTCACTTTATTTTTCAGACAAACTTTGGAACAAAGTAGTGCCACATCAAAAAAATACTATCAAAAACTATGAATCCAGTGATTTGTATTTAATATTTCACACACTGTGCTGCACTAAATACATCTAAACAGGACTAATTAATGCTCTCTTTGTAACCAGACAAGTGTTATTAATTACTGGCGATATCCAGGATATACTGAAAAAAAGCATATTGTGTCGTATTGCCCATTAACGGGATGAAACTGACCGCACTGCGTTCACAATCGGATCACAGTTCATGCTTAACTAACCAAAGATCAGAAAAAATAAATTGATTTAAATGTGGTTTAAGTGTAAACAAAGCCTAAGACCTGGACAGTCCTTACAGACAGGAAGAAAGATCTCAGAGGATCTGCAGAAAACACTCTGGTTTTGTCTGACCGCTGTTCTCATTCTGTCACATTTACTCAAAAATGCTGTTTGGCTATTGTTTAAAAGTTGAGAAGTTTAAAATCTCTCTTTCAGCATGTCTTGGCTAGCTAGCAGGGGCTTCATATACCCGATCAGGGGGTCATTCCACTGTGGGGGTCACATCTTCGGTCTACAGTGTGTCTACAATGTGTCCTGACGGAAAAGACAGGAAGCACAGTGTGGTAATGATTAGCGCTGGAATGTCCTTACACAGCTTGCCCTCAGTGAAGCTTTGTCTTAGTTGCAATGGAGACACATTACTTAGCCCCCCCCCGTGGTCAACAGTGTGGGCGGGAGAGCGGGTTTGTTGGACCTGTGTCAAATGGTACTTTTGTTGTATTAAAGATGAACAACTCTGATACATTGCAGCCATATAAGAGTGTTTAATGGCTGAGAACACAGCTGTGTGTGTGTGTGTGTGTGTGTGTGTGTGTGTGTGTGTGTGTAATATACTCTGTTCAGACTGAATCAGGTGTGAAGGTGATGATGTTGATCTGTTTGTACTTAAAGCTCAGAGTGTTTTTAGTCTGATCTCTTCCTGTGAAGCTCGTGTTCAGACTCTCAGGTGGGTTTGAGAGACTTTTACACAAACTTGTGGAGTCCATGCAGCTCGAGAGCTCACTGTCATTACAGCAGAAGAGGGACACGCCACCAAAAACTGAGAAATTCTCAAATTCATGTTAAAATTTCAAAGATTCAACTTTTTACTCTTGTTATGCTGAGTATAGAATTTGTAATAAAAAAATGCAAAACAGAACCATTTTTAGCAGCACTCTCAGACTTTTGGACCCCCCTGTATGATCATCTCATTGTGACTGAATTCTGCAGTAATGCTTCCACAGTAACTGCTGTGCTGCTTGCATGAACCACCAAGTGGGCTGATAGAGGAAGTAAGACGGTTTGTTTAAACTGAGGGCCTGACATCTTATTTTCTGAACACCTGGGCTAAAATATAGGAGACTAAACAGACTAAAATATAGCTAGCAGGCAAAACTGCTCCTCGTATGCTAAACTGTTAGTATTCAGTGTTTGGCTTTGAATTAAAATATTTAAAGATCATTAAGCTTTAGCTGATGATTGATTGTCATATCGGTAATTGCAATTAATTTTATTTTCTTTTTCATTGTCTGAATCTATTAAATTAGCTTATTAGCCATCTTGCCTCCTAGCTGTGTTTACTCGAGATGTGTGCAGGCTCACGTACCAGTATTCAGTTTAGGAGAGAGAGAGGTTTGTTAAGAAACTGCCTGTGTTATTTCTTTGCACAGTACTGCTGGCTTTACTGCACAGATTCCCTTTAATTTACTTTACATGAATGGAATCAAAATTAATGCTGATGTGCTTTGGACCTTCAGTCTCAAAGTGACTCACTGCACTTAAAAGTTAAAATGACAAAGTTAGTTTAGAGCGGCTAAGTTAACTCTAACCTGGAGGGACAGTTCCTCTGATCCTCGTGTGCAGTGTTTTCTGTACAGATTAAGAGCTGAATTATGAAAACGCTGCTGTTACGATGGAAAATACCTTGTTTTTTAATGTGGACAGCGTGCGTGCATGGTTTCATCACTTTTAATCAGTCTAAAGTTTCTCCAGCAGGGAGCGCTATTAGCATGTAAGTCACTGCAAATCTGCAGCAGAAGAAGCTCATGAATGCACCAGTCTGCAGTAATGTTTATTATAATGATGGATAAAGTGGCTCTCAGATGATGTTGGGTTACTCAGTATCATATTATTTGTATCATATTTATAGAAAATGTGCATTTTATTGTTTTATTTATTATTATTTTCATTAAACAGTTAATTGAAAAAAAGAATATGAACTAAGATAGAATAGAAAGGAAGGAACGTTGAATCATCCTTTTTTTCCTTTCCAGTTTGCAGCAACATCATGTGGGAATGTGTCTGCAATGCTCAATGGATCCCTGGAATCCCCGTTCAGCTCCACCAGGTAAACCTCAAACTGCAACGGTCAGTAACAGTAAATCGTGGGCTTAAAGTAGTCCTGACCAACCCAGCGCTGGTTTGCCCAGTGGTCACTGTGGCATGTGGTCTCCTTCTTATGGTCTGTTTGAGAAGAAAAGGACATCTGTGGAGATTGTTGCCAGCGTCGGCTGGAGTGGTGTAAAGCTCCGCCACTGGACTCTGGAGCAGTGGAAACTTTTTCTCTGGAGTGATGAATCAGCTTCTCTATCTGTCAGTTTGATGATGAGTCCAGGTTTGGTGGATGCCAGGAGAACGTTACCTATAGAGGCTGGAGGGGTAACGATCTAGAGCTGTATTTCAGGATTTGTGAAATTTGCTTGGTGGAATATTTACTGTTGCAGAGCTCTTGTGCACAACTACACTCATTTTTAATCTTTAATATTTTAATTCCAACTTAATAGTTTTTTCCAATAAGTATTCTTTATTTGTTTACAAGTTTATTTATTTCCTTTCCTCCAGTGTGTTTGGAAGCGTAGAAGTGAAGAGTTTGGCCCCAGATAAAGTGGGTAGTTTGACCGTCTTACTCGTCACCAAGGAAACAGACACGTAAGTCACCAGCTTTGTTCTGTAGTGAAAAGATTCAACTTCTTTCTGTTAGAAATGGCTCAGATTTCCTAGTCTGGAACAATTTGCCCTCCTTTCCCTTTTTCACTTGGATTTTAGACACATTTGGAGAAATCCTACTAAATCTTGTATATGAACCTTAGAAAAGAATCCAAGAAGTGGCAGCAATGGTAGTAAACTGGGATATTAAATAAATAAAAATGAATGGATAGTGCTTGCAATAAGTATGCAATTCAGTGATGTCCATTATAAAACATGTGCAATGACCAGGCCACATAATCACGCACACGGTTATCTGTGAGGTCATTTGTTCCAGACGAGAAATTAAATGAGGCTTTTGTAGACACTTGGCACTTAAGGAATATCTGGTCTCACTTTGTGCTGCAGTTGTATCACAAGGCGAAGCTGGTAAAGAGAGATATAGTATCTCAGGAATGGTCTGCATCCAAGCCAACATAACTCCATCTATAAATGGTTTATCTAAGAACATGCGAGTGTCATAAATAGACTGTGGCATAAGGACACACTAAAAAAGAAGTTCAGGCTGAGATAAAGTTCATGCAGAGGATTTTCACTCACTTCCATTCAAAGGGCATTCATGGATAACCATGTTTACTTCACTAATGTAAATAAGAGTTTAATGTAGTATATAAACATTGCCTTAGTCACAATATATTTGATCAGCAAAGATGTTTGGTGTCCACAGTTTGATTCTTTTTAATGTTGCTAATAAGTAATGGAAGCTTATGTTATGTATAAACGTTAATAACAGTATGAGCAAATTTCAGGCTTCAAAATGGCTGTTACATCTGCTCTAACTATGTAGTGTACTTTTGTATATTTTTTGTAACGCATAACAGTTCATATAGTGTCAGAAACCACATAGGTGAGTCTATTTGAGATCACTTAACAGCTCAAGTGCGTTTAGGTAAGTGTAAATGACATAAAGAAGCAAACTTTTTACACCAACCATAGTTAGGCTGACGAGCTACACTTGAGTTAAGGGGACAATTGGGTAAACTATGCAAATTAGATTTTTCACTTAACTGTTCCTTTAACAGAGCTGCTCTTGTCGTAAAACATACTTTGGCCAGCAGAGGGCAAAATGCAGGCACTGGTTTATCACAAGTGCAGTTTATTAATAGAGAACTCATAAGATTTATAACAGGTTATTAGTAGTGCTCTAACCTCATTTCCATGCCAGCCAGTCAAAGCATAGAAAATCAGCCTGTGATTGTACAGCAGTGTTTAGATGAATCAGTGGCTGATGACCGTTAGAGGCCGATCAGAGTAACACCGAGAATCAGATCAGTGAGGATCAGTCAGTGTTACAATGAAAACCAGTAACTGCTGTCAGTGACTGTTAGAGCCTGTAAGGATGATCTGTTAGTGTGAACATGAGAAGAGCTCAGTGTGCAGTGAGGCAGGAGAAGCAACGGCTATGATAATATAGATTTGGGTCTGTGCGGCAGTAGCATCACCAGGACGGTAAGTGTGGGGTGGGGTGGGGGGGTTGCTGGACACTGTTGGACAGCAGGAAGCTCCATGGTGGTCAAACAGGTTGCACATAGGCCGCAATGTCCAGTCTGTACTGGTCATGAGAAATATAGAAGTAGAGATTTATGCAGTTGCGTACAAAAGTTTGGTGAAATAAGCTAACACATTTTCTAGAGAGACACACTTCTGCACATTTTATTACATGTTTACTATTTACATGCTGAATTTAACATTTTTGGGGGAAAAACTACAAAATATAAAATTTGGCCTGTGCAGAATTTACAGTACATTTTTTGTTTTCTGTGTGATTTTTTCCAATATGTTAAATTCTGCAAATAAATAGAAATTATGCAAGATAATTAACAGGAAAAATACTATATTTAAGCGTGTAAATCACCCAAACTTGTGCACACGATTGCACAGGTCATATCATGTTCTTTGTCTTGCAAGTATTTGGTGTTACTTTAACTGAATTAAGCAAACAAGTCAGATAAATCTTTAGAATTTTTTTTTTGTTTTTAATTTTTAATGTTATTGCCACTCATTTGAGGTATCTTGGTTTCTATTGTCAGGACCACGTGTGCCAGTTCTTCATTCCAGAGTCTACGAAGTGCTTTGGATCCTAAGATTGCATACAACTGCAGACAAGTTCCTTAGTGAGTAATGTGTTGAGTCATAAGCTGTGTAGGTCTGTAGTGTGCAGAGCCCCTCAAACATTGCACAGTTAAAAGAATTTTGCATGGAGAAATGGGTCAGATTTTCTCCCAGTAGATGTGAGAAACTGGTGGACAGTTATAGAAAACGCCTGCATAAAGTTTTTTTTTTCTTCCTGCCAGGGGGCAGTACTAGTTACCAAAGCCAGTGGTCTACTTACTTTTTTACGCAAAAAAGTGACATTTTAGGTCTTTTTTTGAAATACGTAATTCTATTACATATTGTTTATCTATACATACTGTTTAACTGTAGATCAAATACTGGCCCACACATGCCAAAGTAACTGTACATGTATAATGTGTGCCCACAAGCCCAACTTACTGCTCAGATAAATAGCTTTACGTCTACTTTTCTGTGGAGGCGTAAGGCTTTGACACACACTGTATGTGTGAACGTCTTTCTTTTGTTTTCTAGTGACCAAGTTGAAAACTGCATTTCTGATCCCGAGATTCCATGCAGCGATTGCTTATGAGACTTCGCTCAGCATCCAGAGAGAACTCCAGGAGATCAGGCCCGGTCAGGAGTCCTGCAGCTGAACATTATCTTTCAGCGTACGACAGCCGAACCTTTGCTAAAGAAGGATATCTGAACACTGGGCTAATTCTACAGCATCCAACACTCACAAAACTACTGCATAAACAGTTCTAACAGTGTGTTTTGTACTTTCTTTATATAATGTCAGTTTTTGGACTGTGACCTTAGATATGCCTGGGTAAAATTGATTTTATTTTTTGCCATATAATAAGCCCTGTATAGTGTAAGGAACTGTGAAATATAAACATTTGTTAATTATAACATGTCAGTATTATCTAACTCAGGGGCGTAGTTATGGGTAGGCCCAGACTGATCACATATCTATCCAAACAAATGGACAAACAATATATAAGTATAAGAATATATTTCAAAATAATGAAATTCGACTTGTTTTCTGTGATTGCTGTCACTGTATTATAGTCAATCAAACCCTCCAGTCACTGCACATTAACCGTTGCTGTCTGCCATTGCCTCATGCCTTCAGTTCATTATCTGTGTGCCAGTGTTTAAATCTGAAGCTCCAGTTGTGGTTAAAAGATAACTGGGGATTTTTAAAACATGAGATTCTGTCCTGTAGAGTGTGTCGATTTCTACCCTTCCAAAGCCAAAAACAAAGGTTGTCAGTTTTCTGTTGTCAGTTTTTCTACAAAGACTGAAATCTGATTTAACTTCAGTGAATCAAAGGTAAGACATAAATGCCATAATGTTCTTCATGCCTGCAGTGGTGATATGTTGGTGGCTCTGATGATAGGTTTAGGTTTTTAAGTCTGTCTTCCATCGTGTTTGCATGTCTCAACTGTCTGATTTTATTTCAGTTATCTCATGATCTTCTGGTCTGCCTGCCATGGCAGTTTAGCCCAGGATGAATAGTCTTGGGTTTTGAAGTCTGCTGTGTTCTTTTTTCCCCGTCTTTATTCATTTCAGCTGTTTGATTTTAAATTAATGTTGGTTATGTTGTGTTTTTTTGCAGACGTGCCTGTGTTTAGCAGACACGTGCCTTATGTACTTCACAGTAAAAGGTGATGCAGTTTTGTGTATATGTGAATGCAGGATTCTGATTGACTGCCAGAATGCAGTGAAATGTCCTCAGGGTGGTAGTGTTGAAATAAACAAGGTGTCTGCTGTCATCAATAAGCTACAGCCTGATATAATGGCATTGCAGGACATTAGCGCATGAAGTTGTATCTTCCAAACTAGACTACCCACTTTTTCACAAAATTTATTTCTGCCTATACCCCTGGTCTAATCTGTTAATATTTAAATAAATGTTTCAATAAAAATATTGTTAATACTTTAGATCCTAGAACACAGTGAGAACCATTTCTCCCTGGACTGTTTTTTCAGGTACAGTGGGACAAAAGTACAATACGATTCTACAGAGCAAACAGATATTTAGTCACATTTGGTTGATAAATTGGGTTGTGGAATAGCTGAAATTTCAGGGGAGGCACATGCCTGAAACCCCTCCTCTTTCCAGTCTAACATCTTATAAATTCACATCCTTAACTTCTGTCTCCCATGACTAAGTGTTCGCAGTCCCCATCTCCTCCCTGTTCCTCAGTCCCATTAGAGTCCTTCCCCAGTTACATAGGGGGTCTGGCATTCTACTAACAGGCAGAAGCTGCTGAGAACTCCAGCCCAAGTTCTCAGAGTTCTCCCCGCTCCCTCAATCAGTCTTCCCTCACTACCACCACCATGTTGAAGGCACTAAATAACTCACTAAATAACAATTATAATGTGAACTGTGGTTGAAAAAAAAGAAATTCGTTGCAAACTGCATGAAATAAACTCATTAATAAATTCAGCTGTAAATTTGTAGGTAAATCCACAGATTTTACAGAAGAATCCTCTTCTCTGTGAAAGTGAGGAAAGAAGGCTGCACCTCCATCTCATTTTCACTACAACGAGTGTTTTTGTATGGACTCCATAATTTCTTGACCTATGTTATACATACTACACATACTACATACTACAAACACTAGAGAGATGAGATCCACCCAGAGAGACACTTGTATCCCAAGGAGGACGTCAGTTTTTGTTATTTGCACCTTGAAATATGGAGTCGATAAAATTCTCTAGTGCCTGTTTAACGTGCTTCCCTTAATGTGCAGTTATAGTTACAGTTTTAGCCAATTACATTTGCAAATATTGTAAAAAGCCAGTTTTTATTTGAAATATTGTGTAATATGCTTTATGAGCACACCGATGTGTTCTGTTGCATCTAAAATAAAATGAAAAATATATCTATATTTATTTATGTATTTATTTATTTTGGCTTTTTCATCATTGAAAAGCTTGGAGAATGCGGTGCTGCTCCCTAGTGGCTGAGTTGTGCATAACATGAGCACCTTGATTTAAATCCATCATTTTTTGAGATGCTGAACATTCTCCACATTCTCCACTGATCCACACACTGATTCTGATAATGGTTTTCTGAAGGTTGTCTAATTGTTGTCTAATGGTTTTACAATTGTTTTCTATTGATTGTCTAATGGTTTTCTGAGGTTTTTTTTCATGGCTGTCCAATCGTTTTCTAATGGTTGTCCAAGGGTTTTCTAATGGTTGTCTTATGGCTGTCTAATGGTTTTCCAAAGGTTTTCTAATGGCTTTCTACTGGTTTTCTATTGGTTTCTAATGGTTGTCTAAGGGTTTGTCTAATGGTTTTACAATTGTTTTCTATTGGTTGTCTAATGGTTTTCTGAGGTTTCTAATGGTTGTTTTTTTTTGTTTTCAGAAGTTTTTTTGAAGGTTTTCTAATGGTTGTCTAATGGTTTTCTTAAGGTTGTCTGTTGGTTGTCTAATGGTTGGCTAATGGTTACCAAAAGATTGTCTAATTGTTGCCTAATAGTTTTCTGAAGGTCGTCTATTGGTTTGCTAATGGTTGTCTAATGCTTTCTAATAGTTGCTTATTGTTTGTCTAATGGTTTTCTAAAGGTTGTTTATTGGTTGTCTAATGTTTTTCTGAAGGTTGTTTAATGGTTGTATAATGGTTTTCTGAAGGTTGTCTAATTGTTGTCTAATGGTTTTACAATTGTTTTCTATTGGTTGTCTAATGGTTTTCTGAGGTTTTTTTCATGGCTATTCAATCATTTTTGGTTGTCTAATGGGTTTCTGAATGTTTTCTATTGGCTTTCTACTGGTTTTCTGAATGTTTTCTAATGGCTTTCTACTGGTTTTCTGAAGTTTTCTAATGGGTACATAATGGTTTTCGGAAGGTTTTCTGAAGTTTTCTAATGGCTGTCTAATGGTTGTCTAATGTTTTTCTGAAGGTTTTCTAATGGTTTCCGGAGGGTTTTCTAATGGTTGTCTAATGTTTTTTGAAGGTTTTCTAATGGTTGTCTAGTGTTTTTCTGAATGTTGTCTAACACTTGTGTAATTGTTTTCTGAAGATTTTCTAACGGTTTTCTAATGGTTGTCTATTTGTTTTCAAATGGTTTTCTAGTGATTGTCTAATGGCTTTCCAAAGGTTATCTAATGGTTGTGTAGTGATTGTCTAATGGTTGTCTAATAGTTATTTGATGGTTGTCTATTAGTTGTGTAGTGATTGTCTAATGTTTTTTCCAAAGGTTGTCTATTGGTTCTCTAACGGTTTTCTAATGGTTGTGTAATGTTTTTTTGAAGATTCTCGAATGGTTGTGTAATGGTTTTCTATTGATTGTCTAATGGCTTTCAGAAGGTTTTCTCATGGTTTTCTAATAATTGCCTAATGGTTTTCTAATAGTTTTCTGAAGGTTGTCTATTGCTTGTCTAAAGGTTTTCTAATGGCTGTCTAATGCTTTTCTAATGGTTGTCTAATTATTGCCTAATGGTTCTCTATTGGTTTCTAGTTGTTTTCTGAAGGTTGTCTAATGGTTGTCTAATGGTTTTCTGTAGGTTGTCTAATGGTTGTGTAAAGGTTTTCTGAAGGTTTTCCAATGGTTAGTCAAGTCAAAGTTTATTCACATAGTACTTTTTACAACAGTTGTTGTCACAAAGCAGCTTTACAGAAAAATCCAGGTCTGAGGCCCCATGAACGTCGCCAGGGAAAAACTCCCTAAGAGCAAGAAAAAGAAACCTTGAGAGGAACCAAGACTCAAAAGGGGAACCCATCCTCCTCTGGTTGACACTGGATAGCAAACAGCATTAGCATAACATATTATAATACAAAACAGGGAAAACAGGTGGAGCAGTGGTTAATTAGATAGTTTGAGTTTATGCAGCAGCAGCAGCAGCAGGGTCAGTTCATGCAGGTAAGATTTGCACAGCTTTGTACAGCATATAGCTCCATGGTGGTCGAAACGGTTTCTAGATGCCAGGAGATTGATGGTGGTTTGCCGAAAAATGTGGGTTCTAAAGCATGAATACATGAAAGCCAAAACATGTACATCGCACTATTGTGGCTAAACTGAACTGTGAATATCATTTTTTTAGTTGCAAAGAGATCAACCACTGTGGAAAATAGCGGGACCTAAAATACAACCACATGAAACATCACACTACCATGGCCAGATTACACTTAGAATACAGTGATTTTAGATGCCAGGCGATCAACAGCTGTGGAAAAATGCGGGACCTAAAGCACAACCACATGAATGGCAAGGCATGTACATCGCACTAACCATTAATCGCCTGGCATCTAAAAAAAATGATATTCACAGTTCAGTGTAGCCACGTTAGTGCGATGTACATGTCTTTGCTTTCATATTGATGTTTTTTATGTCTAGCTATTTTCCACAGCTGTCAATCGCTTTGCAACTAAAAAATGGTATTCAAAGTTTCATTTAGCCAAGTTAGTTCAATGTATATGTCGTGGCCTTTATGTAGTTCTCCTTTATACCCCACATTTTTCGACAATCACCAATCGCCTGGCATTTAGAAAAAATGTATTTAAAATTCACTTTAGCCATGTTAGTGCGATGTCTTGGCTTTCATGTGGTTTCATTTAGTTCAATAGGACTTTTATTTTTCATTGCACTGTTCTTGCACTCACTATCCTGTAGAGGGAGCTCTCTGAGTTTTTGCCCAGTTTTCCAGCACTGAGACTAGCTGAACACAATGTGAGAGCATCCGTCACAAATAGAAAACAATTTACTGCAAAACAAAGAAATAATGTTCGATATCTTTAAATATAGCTCTATTAAGCTGCCTTCTATTGTTTTTGTTGCTCCAGAAGAGTAGATGGTTATTATTTTGTGGAGTTTTTCCAAGAACTCTGGTGGGTGTAGAACAGCATGGTTTTCAGTTTAGCGAATTGCATTTACTTCGAAGTTAATAATGTTCGAGTGAAAATATATTGTTTTCTGAGATAAGCAATCAGAGTAACTGTTAAATGTTGGAAAACACATGGTTTATGGCTTATGTACCAGATTTTGTGTGCAAGTTTGTGAGGGTCCAGCCTGCGCCGCCGACCGCTAGCAGAGGGCGATGGCGGTGAAGTGCCATAACTTCAGGGAACTCCAATTCCCAGAAGTCCTCAGGCTGATTAGGCCCAACCTGACACACCTGTGGACTCCTCTACTTAAGGCTGTGGCAAACAGCAGCCCTTTGTCACACCTTTGTAGAGGGGTGACCAGTATGGTATGCAGCCCAGGTGGGTATTTAAACAAAAAGAAAAGAAAAAAAGGGTTGAAAAAAACAAAAGAGTGTAATTGCCACAAAAATACTTAAAAAAAAATAAATAAATAAAAAAATAACAAGAAGGCTTGAGCTACAAACAGCTCCAAGCCATACTAAAGGTGAAAGTGAAACAAAGTCTGCCTTCCCTTCACAATTACAGTGGAAGAGTCTCTAGTTCACCCCTTGGTTTGAGCTGCTTTCAGCATTTCCTTTGTTAGTTGCCGGTTTCCCGCCTTTTTTATTTCCCGTTCCTTGAGGTGTTTTACCCATTGCTGCCAGTGCTTCCCAGTGGCAGTACATTGGTGGTTCGAACCTGGCTCGGGGTGACCTCAATCCCAACCTGCACAATCATCCAATTCACATCCTATTATCTCAATAAATTTATTTAACACCCTTTCTCAGGGGTTTTCGTCTTTGCCTTTGGGTCCACCTCCCTGCTGTCCCATAACAAAGTTAGCAAAAAGCTAGGCTATGCAAAATTGGTTTATAGACTGTAAGATAGATAGATAGATAGATAGATAGAACTTTATTGATCCCAG